TGAACCAATTATTATTTATTTCCGAATTTTTCAGGATAAACGGTTAAAAAATACAAATCAATGAAGTTATTTCATTTTCTCGAGCAGAAAGGTAAAAAAAGATGCCAATTTTCAAACTTAGTAGTTTTAACCACAAAGAAAAAAGGATATTAAATGTATAATTTAATTCTCGAACCAACTTCAATATCATTTTTAAATAAACAAATCAAGAACATTCAGCTTTAGTCGGTGCTTCAGTTTTTTGGGATGGTACTTGACAAACACAAATGTTTGCTTTTGAATCGCAAAGGTTTCCCGTTCTGCTCTCCTCTCTCTCTGGTTGAAGCCAAATCAAAGTTTGAAGAGCAACTCGCGCGTGGTCGCAAAAGGATTGTATTGTTGATGTTTTGGTAAACGCGAGTTTTGCTGTGTGATGTGCATCGGAAGAATTTGCCGATGCGAGTTTCGGCGAAAATTAAAACGTTCGTCGGCCGCTTGGCCTGGCTTGGCCGGGGAAAAATGCGAGGAATGGGCCTGGCCGCCGGCATTCGGAATGTATTGATCTGCAATAATGACATCAGCGGCGCGTTATTACGGGCATATTTCACGCATGCACAATGAAGGGATTAAAGTGCTCGTCGAAATAATAATGCCGCTCGCCCTCCACCCATACACATGCAGACGCGTGTAATTCCCTTTGTCGGCTGTTTTATCGCGCGCTGGCTGCTGGTTGGTTGGGCGCTCGTGGCCGCTCTGAGTGACTGCAAAATAAACCGCCACTTCTGGCCTTTGCACCCCATTTCGCAGCCCTTAAATCACCCCCGCCGCTCACACCCCCGAATATGAAAAACACGCTGCCTCTCTGTTTTTTATGCGATTTTTTTAACATTTTTTTGTTTGGTGCTTTTTCTCTGGCGCGTTGAATTGAATTAAATTGACTAGCGGGACTCAAAACGCAAAAGCCACGGTTTTTGCAAGCCAAATCAACAACTTTTTTTTATTTTATTATTTCTTTGATCCCATTTCTTCTTTCATTAAAGTCGCTAACTAATATAAAGTTTAAAAACATCATAATCTTTACTCTCTGCGTGTGCTGCTATTTAAAAAAATCATATTTAACTCATTTTAACATTGGCTGAAAATGGTAATTATCAGTGGAATAATTTGTTTTACGCAACTCATTTTTGATCTACCAAAAACTTAGCTTCATTTTTTTTAAAAATTTAAATTACAAAAAATTAAATTATTGAATTGTTTACATACAACAATGAAAAATTTGAGCTATATTTTTCACTTAATGTGATTAAATTTTTCAAACATAATTTTTCTTCTCGAAATTATCATTGTGCAAATTTTATTTTTATCATATAGCTTCAAGTAAACTGATAAATAATTGCAGTTCGTGTCTTAATAATTTTAATTGTGTTCCATTTTCCATATATCCCTGTTGTCACGCTTAACTATATCATCTAATAAATAATCTTTGTATTAATTGTAAATTTTAATTTAAGTTGAAACAAAGAGAAAAATATTTAGAAATATTTGGAAATCCTTAGCATCCAAGATTAAATAGAAATGATCAGAATAAAAATGAAATTATTGTAATTTCTATAAACTGTTTAGTGCTGTTTAGTTACCATAAGAAAAAAACTTTTTTTTAGCAAAATATGGACATTTTGAAATATTTTTACTGATTTATTGAATTATTTAATTAATTTACAAGTGAATTATTTTACCTCTCAAACTTTGCAAAATATTTAGTTCTTCACACTTACGTCACTAAGCAGTTCGCATTTGCAACAATGAGAACAACAATGCGTTCCTCGGTGCGGAACAGTGGTCTGATCTGGCACAGGTGGGCCCACTCAAGAAAATTATTCTGCTCTCCATCGCTCTCCTGTAAGCCGCTTACTCTCAATTCCACTTTTGTGAGGAGCAATTTTAGAGATGGATCTCTCGCTCGGTCGACCGCCGCGCGCCAGACGAGTGTTTTTACCAATTGTCGTCCAATTTGGAATATATCACTCGCACAACCATGCACGCTTTCAATTTCGCAGAAGAGAATTTGCTGCTTTTTCAACCCCGCCGGCACTCGTCGTCGGCGAAATGAGGCGTGGGTATTATTTTAATTATTCGCCCACCACCGCAGCGATGGGAAGCACAATGCGTCTCCGCTTTTCTTTTGGCAAGGCCACGTGTCCTCCTGTGCGAAATTTTGCGTGAAAAAGCTCTTTCGATTGTTCACTGACGACTGTGTAGGTTGAGCTTCTTGAAACAGAATCCTCAGAGTTGAAGTGAAGGAAATTTCCGTTGGGTGTCTTTTTAAAGTTATATATATAAATAATTTCTTTGAAGAAATTGACACTCGAGGAGATGATCATGGCAGTGTAGAGATCGGGCCTTTTTCCTTATTGTGAAAATTTTGTATTCAAAAACAACTTTTACTACAATAAATTATTACAGCTATTGTTAATTGTTAAAATTTTTTAATTGACACTTAATTGCATGAGATTTTTTTATTTTTGTAGAAAATTTAAAACTTTCCACATTTTAATTTTATAACAAGAATTTTATTATTTAATAAAGAAATAACTTCTTTTTAAATTTTAAACCTTGAAACATTAAACTTCAACTTGAGTCTTTATCAAAATGCTTTTGAACTCACTTTTTAAGTCATTCCTTTTATGATAAGTAATCAAAACTTCTTACTTTTAAAATAATCAGCTTCATCTAAAATTGCTGTCAAACGGTTAAATTTATTATTATTATTTATTTTTTTACTCATTTGGATGAGTTCATAAATAAAATAAATCAAGACTAACTATGTCAATTCAATCATCAATAACTTTTATTATTTTAAATTATGATTTTTTTGCATTCATACCAAGAGACTAGTTTATCTTTTGGACCGAAATTAGAAAAAAAAATCATGAAGCTGAGGTCTTGCAAGTTTAATGTTAGTGTTAAAAATAGTTGAAAATAAAAATCAGTAGCTATAAAAAGCAATTTCCTCTTTGCTGCGTTTATAAAGCAGTTTAAAGAAAGGGCTGCACGTTTTCGCGCCCCTCGCGCGAATTTCGGTGTGCTCGCCCGAAGCCATTGGCACGTTCGCCTGCTTGGTAATCAAAGCAGGTGTGCGAACGGGCGAGATCGAACAGGTGCAATTAAATCGAGCGATAAACCGTCCGGTCAGCTGGAATAAACGCGCGGCACACGTTTGTTAAACGCCGCTCATAAAACAAAACACGGCGCGTCCCTTCCATACAAAATAGAATACACCGCTTACTTTTGCCGCATCGCGCGCTCCGAGACTTTTCAGCGCGCAGGGCCAGATTTAAACTATATGTAAAACAACACAAGCCATAAAAACGGCCGGGCGAGCCGATCCAGCACAAATCCGAGCGCGTGAAATAACAATCGGCGTGATTTACGAACATGTGCTGAGGCATGCACGGCGCTGGGTGCTTTGCGTCCATCGGTCGCCGGATCATTTGCATAAAAAACACGCGCACAATGGCCAATTGATTGCATTGTGTCGAGATCGAATTATTTAACGCAATCACGCCGGATTATTGAGCCGAGCGATGCGTGATTTCGAGTACAACGGTCTGTCAAACGTCATTAAAGCGCGCATCGACTTGCTGGCGAGGGATTTTATTGCATTAAATAAATCGTACAAAATATTATGTTCAACATGAATGGATATTCAGTTTTATGAAATTTTCAAATTTTAGTTATTATTCAAAATGATTTTCCGGAGTGTTCTGCGGAAATTATTTTTCAAGCACTAAGAGATAGTCCTTGCATGCGCGCCTCAATTTTTCAAGTTTTCTATTATAATTTAAGTACTAAAAATAGTATTTATTAAATGTAATTAAAAAAAAATAATCTTTTCTAACAGTTACGACAATTAATTCCATATTATTCTAATCTTAAATTTTGGAAAAAAAAACATTTCAATTTGGGATAACATCAAAACATACACTTATTTGAGTGAAATGGTTGCAGACAAGGTAATTCCTTAAAAATATTATTGCAAACAATTTAAATTTAATGTATTTCAATTATTTATAATTTTCTAAATTTTTGCTACATTTAAATTATTTTACTTGCATTTAATATTTAAATTTTTTTATAATAAAATATTTTTGTTTATTAACAAGAACCATTTGTTATTAAAGACCAATTGTTCTCAGAATAATTAATTTATTTATTCTTATTTGCTTAAATAAATATATATTCCTGACAACAATCCCATTGTAAAACCAAACCCTGCTCATCAGCTCTGTTATGTTGGCCAAAAAAAAAGATGTCTACCTCCCAGAGCCATAAGGCCCCATGTCTCTGACGGCTGCTGTGTACCAACATAATTTCGGGACAAGCAGGGTTTGTGTAAAACGATTGATGTATTCATTTCTTCACGAGCGACCAGTTATATTTCATACATTGAATCATTCAACAACGTTATATAATAATAAATTATCATTAGGAAATAATTACCTCCATAAAATTTGCTATGCTCATATGCTCAGTACCAGGTAACTCCACATATATTATGTTGAATACAAATTTAAAGTCATATCATGGTTTTATAGTTATTTTGCAAATATATTTTTGTGCTATTTTATTAGTCTTCAATGGCAAAACAAAGAAAAATATCGTTTTTTGGCATTCTCTTCAAAATTTACAGAAAAATCTTTCTCCGGTTCAGTCTTGTAAAATTATTCAATATATTTGGTAATTTTGAGAATTTAAATTCATATTTCAATGTTTGAAATCATCTACATATCAATCTTAATGAAACCATAACTGCTGCGACTCGGATATTTGTGTTGCATCTCTAGCTTTGCAATTAGCGTTGCCATCCGTTTATTACAAATGTGTTGTTGAAAAGCGACGGACGGACAGACAAAAGACGAAGCAACCGGTGTGCTTGGTTGGTTTCTGCTCCTACCTTTCCAGCCGCGCAGAGTTGAAGTGACTATTGTGTATAACAACTGTTTTGGTTTTGCTGTTGACAGGTTGGCGGGGGCAGGGTGCGTGGGGGCCCTGCTGGAGGCCACCATGAAGATGAGCAAGGTAGGCAACCAGACCAACAGCCAAGACCCTCAGGCGGTCAACTCGAGGGTCTTCGTCGGCAACCTCAACACATTCCAGTGCAGCAAGACCGACGTCGAGAGGATGTTCCAGAGATACGGACGCATTGCAGGTGAGAAAATAGGACAAAAATTGTTTAAAAATTTAATTTTGGTTAAAAATCCAACATTACAAGTTACAATGTGACTCTTGAGGTTAAATTTGTTTATTTGTTTTCGTCTATTCCATAATTCCATTGATATAAAAGAGTGTTTTATGGTCAAATATTTTTAGGGCTGTATTCCGTGCAATGATTCTATTTTAGTACCTTTCTGAGCAGCATGTGTTGCATTTTACTTAATTTTTATTTGGATGATCTCATTCACTCCTATATACTTAAGAGTTCAAGTAAACTGGCATTTTGCTGTCAGTCAATCGTAAGGCATGAGATATTTGAGCATTGTAATCTCTGAAAATGAGTGTTGAGAATTCTTGAATGCGAGCCAGGAGTGGAACTCGTGTCGATGCAGATCATTTAAAAGGGCCGCAGGGCTTTCAGAACGTATTAATTAGAGCGAACGAGACTTTCGCCTCCTTTTGTTATTGCAAAGTTTGATAGTTAATTAGGTCTATGATATACTTCCAAGCGGAAAAGTTACAAAAGTTAGGAAAACTCAATGACGCAGGAATACAAATAAATTTGGTTTCTTTACTCAATTTTAGTGATCAAAATATGTTTTCAACTGTAAATAATGTTGCTATAAATTTTACTTAAGAAAAGAACTAGGCCACAAATAGAGAATTAGTTCTCTTCCGTTTTTTCTTTTTTTTGCACTCGCCATTTTCCGCAGTCATTTATTAGTTCCCATAAGCCGCATGTGATAATAAGTGCAGCGCACATGCTGGTTAGAGGAGACTATAGAGGAGACGGACGAGTATGCGAAGAGAGCCGGTTTTAATAATAAAAATTTATCGATTCAGGACTGATAAGCAGGCGGCGGGATTTTTGAGCCGTTTTAATTAAAAGGGGCAGGAAAGTATAAGCAGCTTAGAGCATTGTTTGAAATTGGCTGGCTGATTGAAAGCGCCGAGCTAGGTACGTAAATATATTGTATATACACGCATAATAAATACACGGGCGCATACGGTAGGGATTAGCGGCGGGAAATTGAAAGTGCAAGGTGAAATTCGAAAACACGGCCAGGGCAAACAGATACACCCGGGAGAGCACGCCAATATTGGCTGAGCAAATTTTATTAACCGCGCGGTGGCGGGCGAGAAAGTGCAAACACTCGCTCAGATTATCTCGGCTCAAACACACACACCAAGCCATTTGTCACACCCCGCGCGCGCACTTAACCCGGCAGCCCCCGAAACCAACCCCTTTGGCTTCTTCGGCAGGCGTTCGCAGCCGACGCGCGTGAATTGACAAGACAAACCGCAGACACGCTGTCTTACGCCGTTCGCCGCCAGAATGAGCCTAACTCGCCCTTTGAACTGTCAAACTCGCAGGGCCGACCCTTAGCACGCGGTGAAAAGTTGGAAAGTAAATTTCGCGCGAGACGAACCAAATGCTCGAGCTTCCCGTTTTAATTAGTTTTTGCTAACATTACTTTGCAGAAACTTGACTCTAAAATTTTAGTTGCTTTTGCGTTATGAGTTACTAGGTGGTCTGAGATTATCATTATCAGCTTTTTTTAAACAATTAAAATTTTCTAGGTCTTTTCAACGCGACATTGTGTTAAGTAATCAGAAACAAAATTTTATTCAAGAAATGATTAAGGATGTAAATAAATTAATGTTCAGGAATTGATATATTAACTTTTTTTTTAGACAATCAATTTCCTAATATTTAATTTTTGGACATTTCAATGTGCGAACCAATTTGAGACGCTCGATAGCTATAGCTCTAAAAGTTTAGTTAATGTTGATAGTTATTTTTTATTTTCAAACGAGTATTAATTTGTTTGTAAACGAATCGATTGAGTAACTTCAAGTAAGGAAAGAAATAAGGCTGACGCACAATATATGACAATAAAGTCAATACAAAAACTAAAGTGAAATGATTCGATGGTTTTTAGTTTGTTCCTTTAAAACAGATCATCAGATGTAAATGATTTAGGGAAATACAATGGAAATTGATATAATCATCATCGTCATTTTTGAAAGCTTCAAATCGTTTGGAAAAGCCGGAAAAGCATTTGTATGCTTTAATAAAAAAGGCAGCAAGATGGAAAAGCGACCAGATTTAACAAGATTTTATAAAAAATAAATAACTTTTTTTGTTAAATTTAATAAAATTTATTTTCTCTTTTCTATTCAGATTAATCTTAAAGCCTTACAATTAATGTTTTATAATTATGTATCTATTTATTCATTTTTAAATTTAGTGAAGTAATTTAATATTTATTTTATTTTAGTTAATTTATTTGCAACCATAACATATTTATATTTAGGCTTTTTTTCAATTAATTAATAATTCTAAGCCATACTGGTGAGAGACTAAATGTTAATTTTGTTTAAACTGATTCCACATGGGTGAAAAATGAGTTTATTACTATTAAGTCAATAAGAATATGTTTAAGCATACAGTCTAAAATGTTAACAGCATGTACTCAACTGTATTTTTTTTTTCTGCGTAAAATCGACCATAGTTACAATCAGTAAACACCACGTTGGATTCTCTTGCAGCGCGTGGCTGCCGCTGGCATATGTGTTGATAAAAAAAGACATTTATCAGCTCGCAAATTGAGGGAGCTGGAATCAATACGACGGAGATATTTGTTGAGCCGCCGAGATGTGATTTGTCGATACGGCGAAATTGAATCCAGCAGCCCTGCATCACTCACTCTCCAGCTCTCGGCGCAGGATTTGATTATTTGATTCGCCTCTCTCCTCCCATATGCATTACGCGCGTGTGTGCGCCTGACTCTTTGTTTGAATGATTTGCATAATAATCCAAATGCAGCAGCCAGATTGATCGCCTCTCGGCACCAGGTGATTAATTTCACTGGCTGCGCTGGAGTGAAAAAATAAATTTTTCTCGTCCTTGGAACGCGCGGTGAAATGCTCAGCCTCAATCAGTGGAGCGAAAGATGGGTGGCCTTTCATTCATCCCTGCGTGTCCTGCGAGGATTACGACCTATCGCACCCTCAGACTCTTTCGCTAACAAGTATCTCTCGCTTCTGCACCAATCGTATTTCTATGGCCACATACAGACGAGCACAAGTTGCTCGCTCTCATTCCTGACGCCGCTTCAAAAACTCCCGCACCGATTTATCAATCACCCTCGAACACCAAAGATTGGAGGTGGCGAGATTTTTGGGAAAGAAAGTGTCATGGGAAGGTCATTGAATTTGGGAATTTCTCACTTTGATTGGGAGGTGAATTAAATATTAAATTAATGGGCTGAAGACATTACACAAATTTGGGATCAAAAGTTTTTGATTAAAAGATTTCTTACATGCAAAAGAAATTTAGAACAATTTCAACTAAAGACACAATACATGCCTTCTGAATAATTAACTAATATTCTAATAAAATGCGATGAAGAAAAATGAAATAAAAATCACTCAAAATTATATTTATTTACATCTAAATTTTTTTTAAATGATGACGACGAAATTAAATAACTTAAACGATTTTCTGATAAAAGTTTCCATTTCTTTGACTTTGATTTTATTACTGCTGTTAATTTTCAATTTCCAGAATAAAAAATTATGATCAGAATTTAAAAAATTCTAGTAAAAGAATGAATTTTTTTATATGTATTTCTCACTAATTTTCTTTTATTTTATAAATTGAAGTTTGGATTCACAAGGAGATCGATCTTCTTCGTTTTCCGAATGTCTGAAAATCTCTACCATGTCCCTCTATGCTGAAGTTTGGATCCGGCAACATTAAAATGAATTTTATATCTCTAGGAAATTGATAAGAAGGGGATGAAAAAAATCTGTCGCAAATCGTTCTTATTATTGCGAAGCTCATTTCGCCGAGATCAGCGAAAACGCGCTCTTTCTCGTTTTGCACACACAAAAAGTAATTTCGCGTGTTGCGGTTTTTTTAATCTGCAAGTGCCATATAAATTTCTGAACTCTCTGCTCTCTCTCAGTGGCGAGAAGAAGTGTCAATATGTGCGCTCGGGAGGGAAAAGTCTTCGCTCGCGCTTCTTCTTGTTCGTCGTCGGCGGCTCGACGCTATTTGGTTATTTCCTGCTCGCTCGCGCTGGCAGGTTTCTCATTTTAATATTTGGCCCGCCGCTATATGCTCGGTGTGTCTTATTAAAGCGAGTGAGGAAATTGAGTGCGCCTTATCTCACTCACTGCATGCTAAACATACACTTGACTTCACTTAGTCCCCTGGAATTATGCAAACCAGTGATTGGCACACTGGCGTATGGTCGGGGCGCCGCCACTCACCACTCGCTCTCCATCCCCAGTCGCCGGTTTTAACCCTCGACACGAAAATGAGAGAACGTGCGCGACGCTGCGGCAGCCAAATTGGAGCGGATGAATTTTGGAATAAATTTGTTAGCATTAGTCAACGCTATTTTTTTTCTTTCTGCATTCAAACGCTAGAATTTAAGTTTTACGAGAAACTGTAAAATTCTAATTTGTTCTTTTTTACTTTTTTTTTAAACATTTATTCAAAGAAATTTCTTTATTTTCATGAATTTATCCTAAGTGCTAACGATTTTATTATTCGGATTAGCTAAAAAGTTTCTTTTTTAAATTTAGTCCCAGTTTTCTGCTTCTTTGAGATGATGCCTTTAGTTTCGGCATATCATGGATGTTAATAAAATTATTTGAAAATTTGAAACTAATTTTGAGATATGTTATTTTATAATCAAGAATAAAATCTATTACGCATGCTCGTGACATTGCTGAATTTATAGTATACTGATGGCTAGAAATAAGTGGTAAATTGTTACACAGACACATTTCTGAAAAATAACAGGAAGAATTAACCAAAAATGAATATAAAAGTTTAAATTTTTGATTGACATCTTTTTGTCGTGCCGTCAGCTTAAAATTAAATGAAAATATAAGTTTTGCATTGATTAAAATTTTAAATATATTTAAAAAATAACTTTAATTAATTTTACCAAATAATTTTTACTTTTAATTTAAATTCATTACAAGATTTTAAAAATTAATAAATACATATAAATATTATTTTTTTATTTCATAATTTGCCTACCCTTGTGAGCAGAATAAACAACAACAGTAATAAGAATGAAAATTTGTTTATAAATCTTACGCGAGACATTATGAAATTATTGAAATATATTTAAAATAATAATCGACGGTCTTGGCACAGGAGGTTGTACCTGGGTATCACGTATTTATATCAAATATTTGTTTTGATAATTATCCACTTGAAGATAAAAAAAAATGCGATGATTAAATATATGTGACTATAAATAGTACGCATAATTATGTATATAGGGTAGTGTGATTTGTATTTTACATTAAAAAAAATTTTTACAACATGATGCATTTTGATAAATATTATATTTTATTTATAATAAATAGGATGCGAGATTTTTTTATCACACTGCATAGCTTATAATTTAAATTCAAACAATTTTAAACAAATTACAAATTAATCAATAAGGTGCCCAAATAATTCGTAGAATTATTCTTTGTTATGACCTGTTCGGACGAACAATGTCGCCACACCATAAAATATGAATGTCAGGTGCATCTTATTAGGATAAGCGGCTCTGTTCTGAGCAACAAGCCTGGCGGAACAAACCATTACACTAATCCGCGTTTTAAGAACTTGCAATGCCAACCTTCCAAGCCCCTGCCTGCACCTCGGAGCGGCCAAAAGAAACAAACAGCCCCTCATCGAGGGCCCTAGTAAAACATAACTCTCTCGCTTCACCTATAAATAAAAGCCGGGACTGATTGAAAAATAAATCGTACAACGCTTTTGGCGCGCGGTGTTTGCAATAAACGGGTCTGCATTACTCAGCGGATTGAATCACAGCCGGTGATAAATGCGCCGGCAGTGTGTTTGAGCGCAATAAAACAGCGAAAACGCGGCCGACTGCCCGCGGCCGCCTGCAAGAAACGGCTGCATTAGCCCTGTAATAATGCTAATAATAACCCTGGTAATAATAATAGTCGAGCAGAGCAGCCACGACGAACCGAGAGAGTAACAATAACTGGCGCGCGCCGAACACCAAGCCATAAAATATCCAGCAGGACAATTGTCGGGCCGGATCATTTGCAGAGATTGATGTGCAAAATCACCCTCCGAGCTCTGCTGCAGTGCATGCGTATCTACGTACATGGGTGGTGTACATACGCCTCCCGTTCTGCCAGCGCCAATCGATAAATATACTTGCAATTAGGCTGCGAGAGAGATGTGTGCGAATGTCGTCACCCAATTCACACGCCAAAATATGCTGCAGGCAACTTTGCGAATAAATTTGAAACATTATTGAACGATAGAAAACTATAATTGCATTTAAATTTTTTCACCAAAATTTTGAAAGATGAGGTTTTTTTATTTATGATATTTTTTAATCGTCTAATTTCGGTTCGGATCATATTGTTAAAATTGAAAACACGCGCAATTGAATTCAAAACTATAACATCTGCCGATATCTGCTAAAAGGAAACTCTTAACAATAAGCAGAAAAGTTCATAATAATAAAAATATATTCAAAGAATAAAACTAAAAAATGCTGTCAAAACTTTAGTTTATACGCTCACTAACAATATTACAAAATATTTTTATGTTGTCGAAACTCACATCTATTATTTATATTTTATTTTAATTTTTTTCTTTTAAAATATTTTTAAATTTTATTATAGATACTATATTAATAAAATAATAGCTTTTTAATATTTTTTATTGATTTCATTTTTATCATACATAAATTAAAACAAAAGTTATAACAAATTATAACTTTTCCTATGCTGCTTTTCAGATATATTTAAATTAGCTTATTAAGGGCAATTTTTGGTAGACAACATGTTGAGGGAGCAGGGTTGTTCAAATCAAATATCAAATTGCTCACATGTAATTTAATTTTTTAATAATGACAGTTCATGCGAATTACACTGATTCAAAACTTGACCACAACAATTGGTGTAGTTATCTTAAAATTGAATTGAAATCCGTAAATTTTAATTAAATTCATGAATTTAAAAAATTTTTGTTAACGATTCCTTTTGTTTAAAATGATTGGGTTTCTCGATTTGATAATTTTGTAATCATTGCTGGTTTGGAGAATAATAAAGACATAAATTGTTTGCTCAAACACACATGCTCAACAAAATTAATTTTGAAACCTTATAGGAGATGTATTGATTGTTTTCACGCCACAGGCCGACAAGACTTTGTCTTGGCCTGACCCTAAGAAAAATAATAATAATAAAATAAATAAAATACGGTTGGGGAAAAATCAAGCTAGAAATACTATAAATTATGTGCAAAATCATTTTAAAATGTTTCCCTATTTTATTTTCAGGCATTTCGATGCACAAGGGCTATGCTTTCGTCCAATTCACAAACCCTTTCGACGCTCGCAGTGCCTGCCTGGGCGAAGATGGACGGACAGTTCTCGGACAGATTCTCGGTAAGTTCTGTTTCATTATTTCCTTTTCATCAAAACTCATTTGTTTGCCCCTGTTTCTTTTTTCAGTGCCAAAACTTTTCTGTTTTTTTTTCTCTCTCTTCCATTCTTTCTTTTACTTTGCCCTCTCTCGCCGAAGTTTGGCGAAAGAATTTTTAATTTGGCATTAAAATATTTGCAGCAATAAAAATTCCTCGGGTCATGCCAGTCTCTCTCTCGGCCATGCTGCAGTCGAGTGTTAGTTGTGCGGAGAAAAGCAAGGGGTGTTCGTTCATCGGGGCTCTTCGCCCTTACTTAACCCTGTTCTGCACGCCAGACTCCGCCAGGCACCCCCTCCGCCTTATTGCCGCCCCCAATTAACGGCGGCGAACACACAAACTTTGCTTTCGCTGCTCATAAAAACGGGGAACATCATTTTTATTTTAAAATTATTTGCAAGAAAAAAAGTAAAAGTCTGCATGTTACTATCTTGAATGCTAAAAAATTACAGATTTTAATTTAATTGAAAAGTAAAATTCTTTACAAATTCTTATCCAAACGTTTTTTACTTTTTTTTTAATCACAAGTGTGGAAGTGAAGAAGTCAGTTTTTATTTAATTTCAGCCACTTCATTACCTCATTTATGGCTTGAACTGCCTTTTTTATCGGTGCTTAATTTGTCCAATCACCCGCGAAAATCGCTCGATCTCGTTGATGCGGAAAGTTCCCATAGTCGAGACAATAATTTGGCCCCTTCGCAGCACGGCTCGCCCCTGAGACGATCAGACTCCATTAATTTGAGTTTTCCGACTTGTAATATTGGATACGTGCCCCGACTGCACGCGGAGTAAAAAGCGTGCGCACTCCCCTTAAATTATCAACACATAGAGTAGTTGTGCCGCAGACCGGGGTGGGGGTGCTCGAGGGATGATACTCGGCCGGCCCTTTTACGAGGCACGCAGCCCGCAACACACAAATATAATATTTTCCCATTTCTCGACGGCGCGCCCCGCCGCCGACATAAAATCGAGAGAGCATTTTTGCCACCCTTCTCGCCTTTATGTGCTCGAGATGCCTTTTAAATGGGCTCCTCCGCTGCCTTTAATGGAAACTGACTTATTTAATAAGGGGAAAACATTCTTCTTACTTAATTATTATTATGATTTGCGTATAAAAGTGTGCTTCCTTTTTTTGTTATAATTTTGATACGTTTCTGATTAAATCGCGCTTTGACGGGAGCAGGATGAGTTTTGGAACAAAGAGAAGTTCACTCCACTCGAAATCGTATTCACGCGTTGAAATAAATGGAAATTCTCCGGCGGGCGTTTTGAATAATTAATTCGCTCCGTGTTCTTGCATGGCAAGTCTCGCGGGAAAAATTAAACGCGGCCTTTCTCCACGCGAATGGGCGTTTTGGGGCGAATTTGCATGTGGAGAAAAGGCAGCCCTTGACCGCTCGGTTAGCGCTTTGATCTCGGACCGACCAAAGTATTGGCCGCATTTATTCCTTGTCAGAACGAGGCGGTTGCGCTTTTGTTCTTTAGCAAAAAGACGTGCTCATATATTTAGGTCTCACTGCTTCTAACTGCGGAATGCGTTAGATGATTTGCGCAGTATTGAAATTAAATGTTGGGAAGATGAGTATGTAAAAAATATCGAATTATATTATTTTAATAATTATTGGAAGAAGAATTAGGGTCAATGTTAAATATAAAACTGCAGATTTAAAAAAAAAACAGTCAGCATGTTTAATATTATAAGTATTTTATTAATGAACACACAATATAAGAAAATATTTTTTTTTCGCATAAAATGAAAATATGTAATTGTTTATTTACCACAAGTGTAACGGCAAGAATTTTCTTTTCTAGCATAATTTTTTTCGAAAATATTTCAATTTAAACACAATAAGTCTGCTACATGGGGTCAACAAACCACTTAAAGAGATTTTAGTTTTAAAGATTGAAAAAATCAATATCCATATCATATTTTAGGTAAAAGAGATGATTATAATTTATTATAAATGTTTATTAAATAATTATTTTTTTCTATACTATATTTTCATTCAAACAGGGCAGAGAATCGCATTTGTTTAATATTTAATTAAGTAATAAAAATTGATATTTCTTGCTGCTGATGCTACTGTTAGAACCCATCACCGTCACTGAAATTGACTTCAATTGCATTCGTCTTGGTTGCATATATTAAGTTAATTGGTCTACCACAAGGAAATATTCTAAATGTAGTTATGTAAGTAAATATTAAAAAATCATGTACGTACAAAACTAGAAACATTTTATTGAAAATGATTCATTAATTTTTTTAAAGGCTTGCTATAAAAAGAAATTAATTTTACACAATATTTGTGAGATCCTAAATTTTAATTTTGAAATTAATTTATATCAAAATTAATTTAATGCAGGCATCGGTTTCGCTATTGAAAGAGAAGTCATTAGAGATGCTAGAATTTTTTGAATGGACTGATTTTTGTGTGCATCGCCTCCTCTCTGTCTGCACAAAGCATTCAAAGCATTTTTTCGCATCAACGGTGGTGTAAGTTATGCAACCTGTTCGTGTGCATTGATTTCCAGCTTGATACAAAAGCACTCTCTGGACGCGCGAGCAAAAAGGAAAAATATACCGCGCCGCGATCGAGCGTTGCAAAACGTGCACGAATATTTATTTCACCCCATTCAATTGCGGGACTGAAATCTTTCCATCAGATTTCCCTCCATTTTCATTTCTTGCTGCGTTTTTTCCTCCATCCCTGCCGGTCTCTTTTCTCCCATATTTTAACGTTCGCTGCTGCTTTTGTGCTGCGTTTGATTCAAATTCCGCGGAAAGAGAGTGAAAAGAAAGAAAGACCGACCGACGAATTCCTTTTCTTCGCCGCCTTTGTTCCACCGCACCCGATGAACACTGTGAATAACAACTCGGCGCACTTATTCATATTGAAGGAACACGCAGAAATTTTCACCAAAGAGAGAAAGAATGGAAAAAAGGGAGTGCGTGCGTATGTCCTCTCGTGACCGGTGCAATTCACATAATTATTATTCGCCTCCTCTGCGTTCCATATATAGAAGAACTAAAATTCTGATCGTAAAGTATCGGTATATAAAACTAAATTAAATTTTTCAGAAAGTTTTAGATTTAAAAGTTTTATTATAGCTGAATTAAACAATGTCTTTCGAAAAATAAATTAATAACAATTAATTTGATTGAAATATTTCACACTAACCGATCTCGAGGTTCAATGTTTCCTATGTTATGAAGCGTATTTAAAATTATTTTGACAAAGTGTAAATATTGTAGTATGCTTCATAGTAGTAAATAAATTTTTACTACTTTTAATTTTATATAAACTGTTAAAATTAAATTAAAATAAAAAAATATATTAAATATAAATAACATCAAATTATTTTATTTATTTATATTTTAATTTTAAAGATTAACATATTATAATATTTATTTAATTTTTTTTTTATGAAATTCTAATATGATAATGATAAAACAAAAAATAATCAATAATTAAGTAATTATTTATATAAATATATGGTTATCAATACACTGAATGGTAACTTCAATGCCATTAACAAATAAATTTTGTTTTCTAAAAATAAAGAAGGAAGAACTAGAAATTTAAGTAATGAATTATAATGCCTACACTAAAAAAAAAAAAATAAATAAATAAAATAAAATAAGTAGAAAGTGATAAAAATGAATGAAGCAGCGTCAAGCTGTTCAACCACACAGAGACGCAAAATTTTTTTGCCCATTATCCAGACTGTGGCGGAAGGAGCATAATAAACAGGGCATGCATTTAATTATTCAGCCCATGTGGTGCACATTCGCTCTTGAGCAGTTACAAACCAGCTTGCTCTCTCTCGGTTTGTGTGTGTTTACAAGGAGTGAAATATCTCAGGCCGGGTGGGCCTTAAGGTAACAAAGTGCGGCAGCCGAGAGCTCGGTGCGTGCGAGTATATTTATGCCCTGTTGGTATGCTGTAAGGTTGGGCCGTAAAAGTGATGCTAATTAAGCTGCATGCGCCAAGAAAGAGAGGCCAAGATTTTGAGCCTGCAGTGGAGAGTGAATTTCATTATTATTAGCATTACTGTTATTATTATACCGGCAGCACACGCGCCGCGCCTCAGCGGAGAAGCGAGACCGCAAAACACAAAGGTGAAATACGGCCAGACATCTCTGCGCGCTGCTTTCTTACCTGCGGGCCAAAAGCTGGTCGAATTCCTTGCTCTCGTTCTCCATCCTATGCTAAGTACACACACGCAGACAGACTTTATTTAAATATATAAACTGCGTGGCCGCGGGCTTTCATTATTTCTGGACCACCCTCGAGAGGAGCCTCATCGTTTGCGTTGCGTGAAAAATGATGGGATTTTCCTAGCCGGGCAACTTTCGCTGAAATTTTAATTAGGTTTGCCTTGCTTCATACTACGCATAAACCGCTCTCTGCCGGCTGTTTACTCAAAAGGAGCCGCAGCAATTTCTAATCCACCGCACTTTTGCAAGGAGTAAATTCTGTTTCGCAGGCAGTTTAATGAGCTCAAGCTGCCGTTAAGAACTATAAATTTTAAATGATTTTCTTTTTAAATTTTTTCATCAATTACTCAGTACTTAAATCGTCTATATTGTCTTTAATTAATATAACATTTTATCAATTTAAAAAATCTAATTTTTTGAAATTTAATCCTGTGAAATTTTCAAGAAGTGGGTGAACGCAATTAATTATTAAAATCGAGGCGGATGGGGTCTTTTTGATCTCACCATCAGAAGTTTAAGCAAAATACGCTCAATCAAAGCATATTTCCAAAAGTTCTTAACGTACATTATGTCTTTTTGAAAATTTCCCTTAAATTAAATTCAAATAAATAATAAAAGAAAAATTTATGAAGCCATTTGATATCATGTGAATAAACAACCTGAGCTGTGTGAATCAGTACAAGTCAGCTAATTTGCCACTTAAGATCGCCGTTGCGCTTTCCTTGTTCAGAAACAGGCGGCACCCG